CACAAAACACTCTCATTTTCAATTTTTCAGCTGCAGAGGGATTGACTACACTGTTGCTACCAAGAGCAAAGCCCAGAGTCCAATTTTGAGACCTTGATTTTCATTATGTTTTCAAACCCTAAATCAAGCCTTCTTTCTCTTACCCGGATTTCCTCTTTCGCCTCTCTGCTTCTCTCTTTGCATAGTTTGTCTTATCACCTGAAGAAAAAACGTTTAAATGCAAAGAGATAAATGGATGGTAATCATTACAGATGACCCATTAGAACCGGAGCCATTCAATCTGCTTATTTGAACGTAGACGGTTCTCTCTTCTGAAATACTACACTGAACAGATAAGAGTGTATTCAGATATAATTTCATGTGATTACTCTATAAAAAGAGCTCCTAGCCACAATTCTCTATCAGGTGTTGTTAAGCACACAAACTGCCTACCAATAAATCCTGTCCATTAAATCTTTATTTTTCTTTCACAAAGATTCTACTTTGCAGGCAAACTCTGGCAATGTTGCCTATTAAAATGGCAAGAAAAGAAAATCTGAAATTGAGAGAGAAGAATCTGGAACAATCTTTGTCACAAAAATTTGTCCTGTGTCAAAAGGATTTCCTCCCTTAGGAAAAACTACCTAACAAGCCAGAAAGAGTAGTAGTGAAAGGCAAAATTAAATAATTAAATACAAAAGCAGAAACATTAAGTTGCTATTATGGACTCATTTTGCAGCTGAATTAACCAATGAATGTTTTTAACTAATACTGAAAAGAGGGTAGCCCAGTTTGAGAAGACTGGTTTAAAAACCACTTTTATAGGGCGCCTCGGTGGCTCAGTCAGTTAAGCGGCTGCCTTCAGCTCAGGTCATGATCCCAGGGTCCTGGGATCGAGTCCCGCATCGGGCTCCCTGCTCAGCGGGGAGCCTGCTTCTCTCTGCCTGCCACTCTCCCTGTTTGTGCTCTCTCTCTCTCTGTCAAATAAATAAATAAAATTTTTTTAAAAATTCCTTTTATCCATTATTTACTCCTGAAGCAGGGATTCTTATCCTGAAACCTTGGATGGGCTTCAGGGTCCTGTGAATGCTCAGAAATTCGGGGGTGTTCTTAAGTATATTGGGCTTTCCCCCCCCACCCGGGAAATGATCTGTAGTTTCTGTCAGATTTTCAAAGGGGTCTAGTCTAAGAATCAGCGTTCTTAGAAGATTCTTTAAGGCATATGGAAAAGTTGGATACAATGATTTCAGTTAAACCTTGGTGTTTGTGAGATCAAAGATGTACATTTGAGGTATCTTTCTCTGGAAGACAAAGATCAGGCCTGTCTGGACAGGTGCAACAAAACCCAACAGGAAAATTAGAGAACAGCTGAGAACTGGAGTGAGGCAAGCCCCTTGTACGAACTATGGTAACACTCAATGCTATACCCAAATTACCATCATCATCATCTCAGTAACTTAAGGTAGTAAAAATTTACTTCTCATTCACACAAAGTCCAGTTCCTGGTCAACAGGCAGCCTTCCATGTGGTCATTCAGGGATCCAAGATCTGCATCCTATGGCTCTGTCTTCTTGTATGGTCTTGGATTCCTCTGTTAAAAAACCTTGGTATCTTGGGCGCCTGGGTGGCTCAGTTGGTTAAGCGACTGCCTTCGGCTCAGGTCATGATCCCGGAGTCCCGGGATCGAGTCCCACATCGGGCTCCCTGCTCAGCAGGGAGTCTGCTTCTCCCTCTGACCGTCTTCCCTCTTGTACTCTCTGTCTCTCATTCTCTCTCTCTCAAATAAATAAATAAAACTTTAAAAAAAAAAAAAAAA